GCATTTAGTCATATTTGGAAAAAAAAATGTGATACCTCACATGATCCTGGTTACATAGAATATTGAGAAGTTTAATAGCCGTGTCTTCAGAAATCCGTTGACGACGAGGATTATTTAGATAAACACCGGCAATACTAAAATAAAATAAATTAAATTAAACAAGTAAAATTTACGAAAACACTCTTTCAGAGCTGACACGTGTAGCAGGCGCCGTCAGGAGTTCTTGTGCTATCCGATATAAGAGTTCAAAATTCATTTGATGATTTCTCCACCATTCGTAATGTTCACGTTTGGGGGTGGTCGGGTTGTGTCGATTGATTCTTTCGTTTTACAGTCGGACCTTTGAAGAACATGGAGAAATCATCAGTTTTAATAACATATCTTGTGGCCAATTTTGTGTAATGTTTTCGTGAAGATTCGTTGAGCATAATGAATCTAAAAAAAGAAAAATGCACTAGTTTAATTAGTAAATATTTACCATATTTTTGGACAAAGCCCGTTTCAATATCCTTCCATTCAGTATTATCGTAGAAAGAACAGCCATTGAATCGGGGGTCAATAAATACTGCATACTGAAGAAAACGCATGTTGTAAATGTCAGTGAAGTGTTTATCCATCCCTTCAGTAAAATCTTCCAAAACTTTTGATAAAGCCTCTTCATTTGCCAAAAACCTAAACTCATAGATTACAAGTAAAAAAAGTATTCTTACATTTTCGTTTGGAAATACAATTTTTTCAGAGTCGGGATAATCATCGCAATGTGAGCATCCTCATAAGACAGCTAAATCAGTAAATTTTAATTACCGTTAGCAAGCTTACTTGTCTAGAAGCTTCGTCAAATGGTGCAAGGATAGCACAAATTTTAACGATGAGCACAAAGTCCTCGTTTGATAGAATCTCTTCCTTTTGTGAAAGCCAAAACTGAGTAAAGGCAGCCTGCTAAAAACGATTCAAATTATAAGATACTTTAAACGCACCAATGCTATGCAATCAGACAACATGTAATAAAGCGAATTCCATCGTGTTATGCATTCTGAACGAGGAACCAATGGTTTTGATCCAGACTGTGTGCAATAACTAAATTTGACTTATAGACAAAGAAAAAACCACAAGCCTGAAAAACATTTTTCGATAGAAGTTATGCCGATGAAATAAGTTAATCGTTTCTTTAAATTTACTGAGAATCGGCTTGAGTAAAGCAATCTTATAGATTTTTTGCACTACCAGATTGAGTTTATGGCTTGTACAATACACCCTGAAACAATATTACAAATAAGAAATTTAATTGAAAAACCATTGGTGTCCTCCGTCTCGAATCGCTTTTCCGCACATTAGCCGCCCCATCGGAGACTACAGCAACTATTTTATCAGCAAGTTTGTAGTGTTGAAGAGTTGATGAGAGATCTATCAAAAGATTGTCCGATGTATGTCTAGAATAAAAGATAAATGCAATAAATATGATAGGTATTGCCTGTCATAAAGCGCATTTGTCTTCAAAAGCAACGACGTTTTAACTCCCGTTTTGTCAAAGTAATGAGCTAAACGTAATGAGAAATGTAAAATATTCAGAGAAATCATACCTGTATATGCAGAAAGCCGCATCGTGAAGTTTTGGACGACCAAATATCAATAGTCGACGCGATTTTGTCGGCTTCTTGCAGTGCCTCCTTTTTCTAGTACAATAAATTAGGATAGCAGTTAGGTAAAAAACTTGCACGTTGTTGGCTGAAAAGACTAAGGCCCATGCCTTGTCAAGACTCGCCATTCTTGAAGATACTGCCTTTTGCCTTAGACGACAATACTGCCTTTGGCTCAAAAAACGTTTTTATTGCCACCTCTTTGTTAGAAGTGAGCTAAAAAGCAGCAATGTTCATAACACTAATCAATAACATACTAATGTTCCCAATTTATTTGCATGATATCTCTCCAAGTGTCTCTTTGGATTGCTGGTCGACGATTGATATTTGTACGTCGTTCCGCAGTAGTTACATCTTTTCATTTCGCCTTCTCGCGTGAAATGACGCCGATACTCGGATTCTACATTGCGTCCCATTCTCTAAAAAATATGCTGGAGTACGTAAGTTTGAACAGTTTATATCTATGGGAAAACAAATGAAAGTAAACAAACAAAATGGTGCAAGTAAAGACAGACAAAGTGCAGAAGGGTTTTTTTGAAAAACAATTGCGCAATTGCAAAAAAAATCAAGGAAATATAAAATGAACTTTGTTGCAAAATGCTTTTTATATATTTACTATCAAGTTATTCAGCCTAACCAACTGAATATTCAGTCCAGACATAAAAAAACAGAGTTTGGCGTAATTCGCATAAATTTATTGCGCTTTGCATTGGTTCACTTTATCGCGCGTTATCGAATTTCGGTTCGGTTCGGTTCGGTTGAACCGAAAAGATTATTTTCGGTTTGGTTCAGTTTCGGTTCAACCCAAAACTGAGTTTGTCGGTTCGGTTCGGTTTCGGTTCAACCGAAAAACATTTTTTTTCGGTTCGGTTCGATTAACCGAAACCGAAACCGAAACCGAACCGAAAAAGAACGTTTCCGGTTCAACCGAAACACAAATCTAGGCAAGTTACAAAAGCTTCTTCGGGCGGAGCAATCCGGGCATGCGCCCAGATTTCTCGTCGGGGCGGAGTGTGGCAAATTGCCACTGCTGCGCAAATAGTCAAAATTCAATAAACAAGTTAAAATTCAAAGTTGATGGATAAACTACCGTAATCAGCGACTAGACGATACTCAGTTGTTCGTTTGTCGTGGCTTGTGGACTTAAAAACCCATTATTTAAGCTTTTTGTTGAGTCAGTCGCGTGCTATTTTTTCTATTCATCCTTTTTCACACGCAAGTGTTGAAATAATTGTGATAGTGCCAAGTTGCTTCATTTTGAGCGAAGTCTGCCCTAATAAGGGAATGTTTTGATAAATTGTGCATTTTCAAGACATCCACCATTGAACCACACCGAGGCACGGTCTCGCAAGAAATTATAAAGATAAAAGTATAAATATATTTCTTACGATAGGAGGTAGCACAATTGTTATTTAAATTGCCTGCATTTGAACAAAAACATAACTTTTGAGTCGGCGGGCTACTAGTTCTGGCATGTGCATCAAATGGCATCAAATGCTGGGAAGTGGCCAACATTGCAGACTTTCCAGGCTTATCAGAGCTTTCAAAAACAATACCATCTGAGTCTTTCTCGGCATCTAGAAATACGATACTTTCGGTTATACAGTACTGGACAATGAAATATGACATTAGAAAATGTCAAGTGTTATATATTTTCTAAAAGCTCTAATCAAGATCTCTACCTAAAATTATTGAGGCTTTTGGCTTTTGGACCATCAAGATGGCTTTTGGACAATTATGGTCTACCTAAAAAAATTGAGAAGCTACGGCGCCGCAAAAATGGGTCTGATTTTCTAATGTCATATTTCATTGTCCAGTACTGTAGCTTCCGGTTTAGATGAGTGAAAAAGTTGATAAATGAGTGGGCAAAAACGAGTGACTAACCTCAAATAGTAAATATGAAAGAAATGACAGCAAAGATAACGAGTTTTTTTTTCTGTTGCAAGTGATTGAAAAATTGAATAAATTAAGCAAGACCAGGTCATTCAGCACACTTAAACAAGACAAGCTGGCTTTAATTTTAATTCTGCTTCTTTTTAACTTTAACTGTCTATGCTTTGAGAAAAATTGAAATCATATTTATAATTCCTTATGAAGTGCTCAGCGTTTTTATCAGTGCTTTCCGTTTAAACCATTGAAGCGAAGAAAAATCCACTTGTGCACAAAAAAAATGTTGTTATCACATTTGGTTGTGTCTTTTTTTTTTGAGGACGAACGAAGCCGAAGGTTTTATATTTCAGATAATGAAAAAAACTAAAGCTTTTTCAGTTTCTTGTTAAAGTACAAAAATGATTCTGAAATTACACCCAACAAGCACTTGAAGATGTAGGTGTTTCAGTTCTTACAGGTTGAGCAGACTCAGACAAATCTTATCACTTTTCTAAAAAAAGACAAGCTAGTATCAAGTGGTGTAGTTGTTCAAGTTCGGATTAAACGGTAGCATTTTTGATTTCAACTGTTAGCTCTTTGGTGTACTTGTTGTTTTACTTGGAACAAAGGTTCATTTTAAAAATAGACCATGTTCACCTGTTAGCTTTTTATCAAATCTTGTCTAGGTGATGTGGAATTTATTTGTAAAAATTAAACCATAGCATTCTCTCGATTTGTTGTTGTTGTTTCATTGAGAACTCAGGTGGATTTCGAGAGTTCTTCTTGTAAAAGAAAAATTGAAATCATGTTTATATTGGGTTCGTGAATTGAAAGCTGCGGGCTATTTGGCTATTGTAATAAACCTAATTTTTGATTCTTTACAAGTTTTCTATTGACACCAAAATGGGTTTCTTTTGAAGAAAGTGCTCAAACTGGGACATCTCCAGTCCTCCATTTTTGAGTCTCACACTTGTCTCACACACAAACCAAAATCCTACTACGAAAGAGGAATCCGCAAATTGCCTGTAAAATGGGCAGAAGTCGTCAATAATAATGGAAATTATTTGGAATGAGTTTATGGTTTTATTTTGAATAAATTCTAGTTCAAAGTCCCGCAGTTTTCAATTCACCAACCCAATAATTCCTGAGTATTTTCTTGTGACAAGTGTAGAGTTTTTATCAGTGCTTTCCGTTTATGCCATTGAAGCGAAGAAAAATCCACTTATGCACAAAAAAAATGTTGTTATCACATTGGTTGTGTCTTTTTTTTGAGGGCGACCGAAGCCGTATCACCTTTTTTTGGAAAGTTTTTTTTCGAAGCATTCGACTCACCTCAAATGTTCTTTAGCTTGAAAGTTTTTTGCTACATTTAACTGTAGTAGAATATACTTTTTGCTTTTTGCTTTCCTTCTATATGCAAATTTCTTTTAACGAACGTTGGTTTGTCTTAATTTTTCCATTTTTTCAAACTTCAGGCTTGATCGATGAACTAAAATGTCCATCAGTGTTGACGATGAACAACGACCTTTATTTGAGGAAGGTAAAATTACAAATTAATGTTTTTGATTTTCTTGAGTACGTAAAAATCAGCTACATTAGAATCCATGGACAATTGGTTCAATTTTTACCACTTTAATAGATCATTTTTAATAGGTCAAAGGTACAGTTCACTCTTGATTAAACGAACTCTCGATTGCCAACGGAAAAAAAATACTTTGGAAGAAACTCCGATTGAACACAATTTTTTGGGTTGAATAAATTGAGAGTCGACTGTATTTTGGACAAGCTTAGTACTAGTTGCTACTCAATAGTTAATTTTTGACGGTAATGGTTAACGTTACAAACAACTGAATGGTTAGAAACGAATCCTTAGAAAAAATTTCAATTTCAGAGCAGCCACCAGCGAGGGTGCCTGAGGAACAAGAGCGGCCACCAGCGACGGTGCCTGAGGAACAAGAGCAGCCACCAGCGACGGTGCCTGAGATAAACTCTTGAAAAAAGAGCGCTACTGTACAGGGTGGCGCAGCATTATAGCGACAAGGAGTTCCGCGCGTTTAGGAGTCATTTAATCGCAGTTAGCATGTTGACTTTTTTATGCTTTTCTCTCGGTGAATGCGTCAAAGCCAAGGGAGCTAAGTTTGAAAGCAAATACTTCTTTATTTGTTATGTTCCAAAGAAGAAATTGTCATATCAAAAAAGTATTCATTTTTGATTTCTGGCTCTACAGCCTGATGATACTGGGTGACCGTAATTATGCGCCACCCTGTACATATCAGAAGTTGACAAATAATCCGCGGTGTCTGAGCCTACTTGCCAGTTTTTTCAGTTTTACTACTTTTCTCATGTTGAATGAGGTCACTCATCTTTAACTTTGAAAATGAGTTGCAATCACGTTGATAAAACCGTGTAAGCTGGATGTAAATTTTTGTTTAAATTCAAAGTGACTTGGACAAAAAAACGACATGATCAACAAGTGTTTAAGGTATCCACTCAGCTGAATCGTCGCATAGTCGGCTGGTTTCGCACCAAATCAGAAGAAGAAATATATAAAAGTTTGTGGAACATCAAAGAAATCGCGGATGGTACAGATGAAAATGGACAAACAATACTACACCTTGTTGCTTCATTCTTTTTGAAAAGTTTTTCGTTTTCTGGATTTTCAGTTAATTTTCACTTTTTAGCATCGGTCGACAGAGTAATAGGGATGTTGCTAAACAAAGGGAGGTGTGTTGACAAAAGAAAATGAGTTGTTAAGTTTCAGAAACCCTTTACCTTTAGACATTACATTCGAGAACCTTTGTTCAAAACCGTTTTGAACTAGGATAAACTTGTTATTTGCCAAGCCAACTGTTCAGTCAGTAAGATTATTTGACCCACAAAACAGGGAAGTATTCGAGAGAAAAGTCCGGAACTGGACTACTCTACTATTGAGCTTATAAATAATAGCATGAGTTCAAATCAACGAAGATCTTTTTGATAATTTTAGTGATATTGATTCAAGAGACAACTTCGGGCTGACACCTTTGCAATGCGCTGTTCGATGGAACAATTCATTCGCCGTGGATTCGCTTCTTGGCCTAAAGCTTGGTCAGAGGCGACCAGATCAAAGTGCCGAAGAAAGCGAAGCTGAAAAGAGAGAAGAATTTCAGGTGTTGTTTTTAAAATTAAAATGAAACGAGTTTGTTTAGGGAAGAGATGACGATGATGATAAAAGAACCCTGTTTGTGACTGCTTGTGCACAGAATTCCGAAAAGATCGTGGGGATTTTTTCAGTTATTCACTAGAGGGAGAGAGCTACTAAAAATCAGATTTTCTTTTCATTAAAATGCTGGCTCTTTATTTGTTTTCTTAACACTTTTAAAACATTTACGACGATACGTACCATATGGTACATAAGGTTTTCTCGACAACGCCTTGACCAATTTGGCTGAAAATTTGTGCCCGCGGTTTTCGAGGATGGAAAATTCGGGATTGGTTTTTACCATTACAAATTTTAAAACACTGAATCGGAAGCCAGATTTCCTAAACCTCGAGCACAAATTTCTGGCGGCGTCCTATTTGAAAAATTTGCCCTCGTCTCAGACGTAAAACTCTAAAAGTGTTTTGTCGCAAATGTGTTTGGTGAAAAATTGGGCTGCTTTTTAATATTTCTTGATGCTAAATAACAAAAAAATGCTCGTCTAAGCGAAGGGACAACAGCGATTACATCAAGAGATTTAAACTACTCATGTGATTGCTATAAAAATACCGTACTTGTTGTCAAATGGTAACTACATCCGTTTAGATAAGAATTTTCCTAAGCCACCCGACATTGTTTTTTCCACGGAATTCCGACGAGCCTGTGTACGAATATTTCGAGGCCGACAAGCACAGAAACACCTTTTTGCACTATTTGGCTAAGTGCAGCGAGGCAACGTTTATGGTGTTTTTCGAAGAAACAAGTTTTGGCACATGTAGAACTTGAGAACGCGATTTTTAGCAAAGCATTTGGACTACGTGAATCTTTGGAAGAAAGTGGTCAAAAGATTCATCTCTTCTCGAAACAAAGCTAAGCTGACTCCCTTTGAGATCGTTGTACAGAGGGGTTTCGCGGAAGTTGTGAAGAAGTATTTGAAAGGCTAATAAGAGAATTTATTAGGTTGTAACAGATGAGATGACCGTAATTTTATCATGCCTTAACTTTCTCATTTCGTGTCTGATTTCATTCAACTTGTGCTGTATCTAATAACAAGAAATCAAAGCCTCTTCATGGCGAACAACGGATTTTACTGGCATACAAAAGTCTAAATTTCCCAGCAATTTCTCAGCCACTTTGCCATAGAATCAGCTCAAACTCTGCTTTTGTTTCACGTCATGTCTCTGGTACCTACTGTCAAAAAAATAAAAAAACCAGACATGAAATGTGAAAGTTAGCCCATGATAAAGTCGCGCTCATCTCATATGTTACAACATGATAGACAAGCTTAGGATTTGTGAATGGCTGGAATGGGATCCGGACGTTGAGCTGGCTCGCAATAATCCCAACAATGAACATGAGGGCGATGACCTCACTGGCGATGACCTCACTCAGAGATTGGAAAAGATTAGAGAGTTTGCCAACGTTCTGACAAGGGAATGGTCCAAAGTAAAAACAAGCCGTTTGAAGCAAGTCATACCTTGATAGCTATTCGACAGCTTCATCATGGGTTTTGAGGACCAAAAAATAGTTGCAAAAATTAACTCTACAACGAGATATGGAACCGACAAGGTTAAAAATGACATTTTTGACTCTCCTCGCGGGGGCTGAAACTTTTGACCAAATCAAAAAACTCTTTTTGCATTTACAAAAACACTGTACCTCTCCATATCTGGTCGTAGCGTGAATAGGGCAGCTAATTCTTTTGGTCCTCGATTCCCATCATCAGGTCTATCGAATGAGGTATGGTTCATCCCAAACGGACATATCCCCTTCGGACCATTCCCTTGTCAAGTTGATTTTGGGCAAAAATAAGCGGTTTTTGGATTGTTTATGAATCATCTCAAAAAAAAAACTTTTTTAGCTCAAATCCTCACTTGTTGCATCTAGCTGCGGCGGCTGGGAATAAGAGATCATTTGCCGTGCTTCATGATAAGGTGAGCAGTCACTTTTGGCAACTTTTCTCTCAATTTTTTTAGTTTATTTTTGCCTACAAGTAGCTTTTTTATACTCTTGAAAGAAACTTATTGAGATTGTGAGCGTAAACTTTGTGAGTTCTAGCTATAACATACGTTTGAAGTGACTGTAAGAGATTAGTTTGATTGAAAGATTTCCATGCAGTTTTTTGGAAAAGCATTTCAAATTTCTAAGAAAAAAATTTCAGCTAAAGTACGTCTACAATGAGCGAAATGATGAGAGCTCCGGCTCCGAGACTCCTGCTCATTTGGCCGCCAGACACAACAACGTCTCAATCATGACAAAGTTGGTCAAAATAGCAGTAAGCGAATATAAAAATTGAGTTATTTGCACTCTAACTCAAGAGATCTTCTGCCCAAGTGAGCTTATTTGAAAAGAACAAGCAAGAGATGACGCCACTTATGCTCACAGCACAGACCAATGCTTGGAAATGTGCTTCAGTAAGACAAATGTTTTCAGCACTTCTATTCAAATTCAAGGCACTCATTGATCACGGATATAACCAGGGAATCGCTCCAGACGAATTGTATTTCGGGAAAGAAAAATCGAATAAAGAGGAGAATCTCCTGACCATCGCCACCGCCTACAAGCATCCGGAGTTTGTCACGGCGAGTTTCTGATTTCTGTTCATATAAAGCTCACAATATTTTTTTGTCATTAACACCATTTGCTGACACTGTTAGCTAAAACAAGCGTAGTTTTGAGTTTGTCATACAGTCGACTCTCGATCGGAAATTTCTGTCATAACATCGAGCACGTTGTTAAATCGAAGGGCAGTTTCAGGCATTTGTGCTTTTAGAGGCTAAAATGGCTGGACAAAACTAAAAAGAAGTTAAATCTAGCGTTAGATTGAGAGTCGACCGTATACGAAAGATGTTTTGACTTTCAGAAGCTCGTCAGGAAAATGCTCAAGAAAGAAGACATGAACACGACGTATTTGCGCAGGTCAGTGAATAAACAATGCCTTGTTTAATAAGGATAAATAAATATAAATAAGGCTAAAACTTGTTTACAGATTTCAAAACATGTACTTTCAGTGCCGACGAAACGCGAGGGACTTTACTCCAGACGGTGGCTCAATGTGGAGCGCTGAAGGGTCTTAAGGTATTTTGCAGTACTTGTGAAGCTTTGGTCTCTTAACGAATTTGATTTCACAAATTTTATGAGTAGCTCTTGTGAATCTTTTCTAGAAACTACTGCAAAGTTCCGCCGACATCACCCATTTGAATAAGGAAGAGAAAACGGTTTTGCATTTTGCCGTCGAAGCTGGACATGTTTATGTGGTTAGTGCAAAAACAGTTTTAAAAATAATGGGCTCAGTTTTCACTAACTTACAAAGGTTCAGGTCAAAGAGCTGCTCGAACATCCGGGAATAAATTTGATTTTGAATGCCAAGGATTTCAAACAGCAAACACCACTTCATGTAGCCGCAAAGCTAGGTCATTTTGAGATGCAATTTTTTTCAAACTGTTTTTTTGTGGCAACTAGTGTTACAGATTATTGGAAAATCTGTCAAGATCTTCTCCACAAAGGAGCCGACCCAAATGCCCGAACGACGATCATTGTCGATGGGTGGGAGCTGAATGACGCGACCGCGTTTGATCTAGCAATTTGGGTGCAGTTTTGAAATAATTTTGGATGCTTTTTAAAAAATATATAAAGATATATAATTATTGTTCAGAACGGAAATTTTCAAAGTGCGCAAAAACTCCGAAAGCACTACAATATCAATGGAAATACCGGGTGTAGGTGAGTTTATTTTTTGTTAGACAAAACTTTCCATTTGTAGATGGTCACCTTTGCATTATGCAGCAGCGGCTGGACATCTGCAAATCCTCCAATATCTTCTCCAAGATGATGCAATTGACTTAAGTTTGAAGGAGCTCAAGTAACGATGTTGAAAAAAATTTAGAGCAAACTACGTCAGATGAAACGAAAAGAACAGCATTCGATATTGCGCTCGATTTCGGCTATGAGTAAGGCTCCATTTAGTAGACTTGTTTATCGAGAACTAACGAGAAAGTGAAGTTGGTCGAATGTTGCCCAGGCATCGAAGAGCTATAGGGCTTTATCGATCGGGTGGCCAGGGAGAAAACACTATGACTCGTGAGATATGGATGCTTCAAGTTCATCTCTCGTTAGGCTTTTTTTCTCGAATTTACAGCATCCATATCTCACGAACCGTAGGTCGTAGCGTTCTAAATTTGTATGAAAAATGAAGCTTGAAGCCTTGGCTACTCGATTGACAAAGTCCTATAGCTCTCTGATGCCTGGGCAGCGTGAAAATTGACAACTAATGCGGCTAACTTCGCTTTCTCGTGATTTCTCGATAAGCAAGTCTACGATGTAGTGATGAAAAGCTTAAGAAAAACTTATCAAAGTGTTTCAAACGGCTTGAAAATGGTGTTTTACAGGGTGATCGCAAATGAGCTGCTGCTGCAGAAAGATTGGCGCCAGCTTGTGTACACGATGAAAGTGGTGCCCGATGATGGGGTAACTTTTAGACACAAACTTACAACGTTGTAAAAATTCCTATCTATGAAATCTTCTAGAAAATCTTAGAACCTAAAAACAAACCAGGATTTTTGCCATTGATGTTACTGTAAGTGAACAGTAGACCATGCTGTTATAGGTCTTGAAAGTTAAACAAAGAATGAGCTTCAGTTCTAAAGTCAATTTCTTTTTCCTTTTTCCAAACAAGAAGTTTTAGGTCAGCTACTCGCCTAGAGTTGGTGGATCGTACGTGGTCCGTACTGGTGGGCAAAGAAAAATAGCCCAAGTCACCAAAATCGAAGCCATTACAAATCGAGAGCTTCTCCGAAGGCAACCAGGAAATCAGCCTAATCCACTAAAAGCTGGCCCAATGGAAACCGAGTACCCGAAAACTGATCCCAAGAAATCGGCCGCCTATCAAGTTACTTATCCACAAGAAACACAACCAAACGAGGGCTGGCTTCGAAAAGGAAGCTTTGAGAGAGTTATCTCGAATCGGGTTTGTCTTGTGTGGTTTTCTGTATTCAGAAGTTTCAGATACACGGTCAAGAGGCAAAACGCAATGAAACGTATATTATTTCATGGAAAGCTGGCGAGAGAAAAGTAGCTAAAGTTACACGGATAGCTCCTGAAAATAAGTGTCAAGTCGACGTTGATGGCCACGGCCGCGAAACGATCGATACGGCTCAAATCGTTGCCATCACGTTCCCCTTGTCATGGAGAACAAAAGAGGTACACAGCAATTCTTTATGATTGAGTGTATTGAGCATTTTCAGAAGCTCTACACACCGATGCGCCATCTTGTCGACAAATTTCCCCACCTGGCCACTACTGTAATGGATAAATGTATTGAAGAGTGAGTTTGTTGTGCAATTAGTTTTTAAAAATAACCCCTCTACAGGTTGGTCCAAAATTATAGCAATTTCGGCTTTTCTTGATGTAACTCGAGAGTCCGCCGTTTGTTTCTCTTAGGACATTTTTTAAACATTAAGCTGACACTATCTACAACAACAGAAACTTTGATTTTGGTTGAAAACGTTTTTGTTATCTTTTTATATTGGATTGGTGAATTGAAAACTGCCGGACTTTGAACTAAAATTTATTCAACATAAAACCATAAATTCATTCCAAATAACTGCCGTTATTATTGATGCCTTCTGCCCATTTTACAGGCAATTTGCGGATTCCTCTTTCGTAGTAGGATTTTGGTTTTGTATCGAAAAACATTTGGAGCCAATTTTTGACTGCTTCTTCTGAATCGAAGTGTTCTCCCGCTCATTACTCATGATCCGGAATAAATAGTAATCGAAAGGGGCCAGGTCCGGACTGTATGGGGAAAGCGACAAAAGTTCCCAAACAAGGCTATTTATTTTAGAGCGAGTCAGTTCTGCAACATAAGGGCGCGCGTTGTCGTGGAGGAGAGCGATCTTTGACTTGGAGGGCCTATGCTTCTTCAGGGATTCATTCACCTTTCCCATCTGTTCACTGTATTTGATTGCATCAAGGGTCGTCTTGCTATCCAGCAACTCCCAGTACACCACTCCCTCCATATCCCAGAAAACGCAGAGCATAAACTTCATCTGGTGCAAATCGGGCTTGGGGTCACTTTCGGGTTTCTCGCCTGGCCCCACTCATTGTCGCTTCCTCCGAAATTTCACAGATAAAACCCATTTCTCATCTCCTGTCACAATTCGAGGAGGAAAGGATTTTCTATCGTATCGGTTATTGAGGTCATGGGGCACCCAAGCCCCAAGTTTCGATTTAAATCCAAGGGTATGAAGGTGCTTTAGCACTATAGCATGATCAACCCCTAACTTTTCTCCCAATTCACGCAATGATACCCGATGGTCGTTGGAAATGAGTTCGAGTAATTTGGAATCATCCAGTTCGGGTGCCGCTCCACGGCCCTCTGCATCTTTCAAAGATTTGTCCCCAGATCGAAACTTGGCGAACCATACTCGACACGTTCTTTCCGAAGGTGAGTCCTCCCCATATATTTTTTAATATGAGCAGCTACCAAGCCTGCACTGTGCTCTTGTAGAAACTCATGAAGCATGACATGACGAATATGTCCCGGTGGCAGATTGTCGAGTGCAATAGAAGAAGTGTAGAAAAATACCAAAGAATAAAAAGCTGGAAGCATAATTTTTCCGCAATAATTTTCGGAAATGTTGAAGTAACCAAACCCCCTTTCAGCTGGTTTAATGCTGTTGTTTTTTTATCTGCGAGTCCCGCGAAATAGCCGGCAATTTTCAATTTTTCAAAACTTTTTTCAAAAATTTTCAAAACGCTGAAAAACAGCGTTTTGACATAGTCTTAAAATTGGATTCAAACATGATAAGCAGTTAAGTTTCATTGGAAATAAATTAAATGAATGAAAAAAATGTTGTTCATCTTAAAAAGGAAACTTCTAATCGCACAAACGAACCTGGAAAACTAGCAAAAATGTCGCCGGGCGATTAGTGCGTATTTTGAACTCAACTTTGAAGCATTGTATGAAAGTAACAAAAGCGTTTCCAACCAAAAGCAACGTTTTTTTCGTAGAAAATCATGTTAATTTCAATTTAAAAGCATCCAAAAGAGAATGGATGACTGGGTTGCCGGGTTAGACAGAAAATGTCAAGTCGCTATAATTTTGGACCACCCTGTACAGAGAGTTTTTCGATAAGAGACCATTTTTGTGGCGAAATGGTAATTCCAATAAAAACAAAGATGAAATTAGCTTTATGCAAAGCTTTAATCATATTTGCTTCCTTTGCGAAATTTTGAACTTCAGCAAAATCGAAACGAAATCGGTCACCTACGATTTCAGCTTAATTGACGACACCTACGTGATAAACCAGGAGGAAAATGGTGGTAAGAAATGAATGTCCATGTATCAGTTTAAGAAAGTTACAGAGAAATCTCTCAAAAGTGGGTACGAAAAAGACGGCAGCGTTTTGCAAAAAGCCACTTCGTATTTTGAAGAGGAGCCAACCTCGCTTTTAGATGAACACCTACTCATGCAAATAGTGGGTGAAATGAAAAATGAATTTACCGAATTTCCTCTAAGAATCCAAAACCGCCGGCTTCCCCGCCTCGACTTTTTTGCTTGCCCGCAGGGCTCTTCTGTAGAAAAATGAAGCAATTTTAGTAAGGAGGGATTTAAGGCTCTTTTTTAAAAAACTATAACTTAGCTTTTATCCAAGCTGGTATTAATGTAGTGTAGTTATCCAAAATGAAGAAAGAGAAGAGCTGTGAAATACCTCTGTAATGCTCTGATACCTTCCAGAGTGGCTCTGCAAAACTATCTCTTAGATCGATCGTAATGTTTTCAATCTTTTCAAAAAATCGCAGTTCAACACCAACTCATGTTTAGCCTCTTCAGATTATAAAGTAGAGTGCTACCACTCCTGGCCTCATCTGCCAGAAAGAGAAAGAGGAGTAGCCGCTTCTATCGCTTCACTTCTTCTAGTCCTTAATGCTCTCTATCTTTTGGTATAATAAACCTAAAGTTAGTCGAGGGGGGGGGGGGCTTGATAGAGGAAATACGGTATTTATTTTTAGGCCAACTCGCCCGCGGAGGACACGAAAAAGCTGCTCGAGCACGAGCTTGTCTCCACATTTCTCACGTATCGTTGGAAATTTTTGAGTCGACCGGTTTATGTGATGTTTGGTAGGGGATTTCTTTTTGTCGACGAGTTAAAATCATCTTAAAACTTTCAATAAGTGCAATACTCTTTAACACAAGCTCTACGCGTAGGTCGTTCTTTCTAGGGATTCAATTCTGTTTTCCTCACGTAGCTCTAAAAGCTAGCTACATTTTCCAATCACTAGCTTCTGTTCAATTCTTAAATATTTAGATTTCGATTAGTAAAGTTCAATAGGTATGTGTATGAGATTAATCACAAGTCTCTTTTTAGCCCTTATACCATTTCTTCTTTTTCTCGCTTGCTATGTGTTGATGCTTTTGTTCATGTTCACTGATAAAGTCACACCCACTGGCGTTGCTGCCAGCGCAAACCAATCGACGACAGGTTATTGGTTAGCTCAATGCTTTGATAAAATGATTTTTTAGGGCAAAGAATTGGTATATACGAAATTTACATGGAAGAAGGAATGATGAAAGTAAAGGTTGCTTGCTGAGATCTTCTAGCGTCACCCAAACTGTTCAGATCTTGGAGAAATGCGAAAAGGAAAGCAACGCTACTCTAATACGAAATCAAAGTGGTCAACTTCAGGTTGGCTTTGTTTATTTGGAAAATATAATTGGTACATTGTATCTCCACAAAAAGAAAGCCCCTGCATCACTTGCAATAAAATTTGCATTCAATGCATAGGCATGCTTGCTTTTATTTGAAATGAAACCGTTTGAATGCAGATTTATTGGGGGTTAACGCAGATGTGTATGAGTTAACTTTTTGTGGGTTATGACACAGAAGTACCATATAATTATAACGGTCTGTGATCTACAGTAAGAACAGTACTGTTTAGTCTACTTCCGATTGGAGCTGGATATTTACTTTCGGAGCACTCGTTTTTTTTGTTGTCTTGGCTTTAAAAGAGGTAGGTGATATAATCAGTGATGCAACATTTTGTAAACACATATGATTATAAGAATTCTACCACAAGTTTCAAGGGTTTTCAACTCAAGAAGCTTGGTTCTCAACGCTACTTTGCCTGTATGGAAAATCGTTACGAATTGATCGTCTATGTTCTTGCAGCTGTGGTGATCGGATGGAGAATTTTTGAGGTGAAAGGTTCACAAGTAGCACAAATTCAAGATTTTTAAGCTATCCTGTAAAGAGAAATCCCTAATGTTTTGGTTTTTTGCCGTCATCTCGTTGATTGGTTTGAGCTTCAATTTGGTGAGTAGCAGAGCCGTAAACTATTTAGGAGATTGGAAAGCTGAATATTTTGCTTTATAGTTGAAAACTGTCTTTTAAGAACGAAATTTTCCTGTACTTCGAGCTACAGGATGAGCCTGGTCTATAGCATATAGCGGTTACAAGCTCCATTCATCTGCAATATAACTTCTTACGGATAACTTATCATTGTAAGAGTTCAGAAAACATTTAGAAACAAAATTGAGTTATCTAAAACTCTTTATTACGAAGAATTCAAGCAGAACACGTTGCATGCCAAGAGTTTCCGCGAGCCGAAGTTTGAAAGCGACAAGCTTTGTTTCCTTTGGTTTCTGACCAAACAGCAAAATCTAATGTGGGAAACTTTAAAAATTTTAATAAAAGATTAAGCAGATTGATCATGTTTGCGCAGAGTTGTACCCTGAAAATCACGGTGAGTTGGAACTGGGGCAAATCAAAAGCTTGTGCGCCTTCGGGACTTGAACCCTCGATCTTCCGCTTACCGGGCAACTGTGCCAACCATTACACCACAATGCACTTCATCTCCCGTATTTCAGAGGGAGTTAACTGGTGCTATAATTCTGGGCCATCCTGGTAGTTCGTTTGGTGACAGAAATGGTTCAATTTTAGTTGGTATTGTTGAGTGCCAGTAGCGACTTCGGTCTCTCGATTCTGATGCTGTACAAGGTGGCAAAGTCGAGCTGGAGTCTCATCGCATTACCGCCCACATTTTTCATCCTCTTCGCCATTCTTTTCACGTTTCTTCTTGAAAATGAGGTTTTCGTTGTTCGTTTTTAAAGCAATTTTTTTTAGAAAGAATTTGCCAATCCTCTCCATGCATTCGCAAAGGTTATGGTGATGTTCACGGGAGAGGTCGACTACGCGAACCTGTTCTATTCAGAGGATTTAATAAAGTAATTTTGTTTAGAAGCTACATTCTTGTAAATGAAACTCATCAAAGGAAAATTTTTCAGAGACGCTAGTTTCTCTTTTCAAGTGATTCGTTGGACGACGTTTATCGTGTTTTTGCTCTTCGTGGTGGTGGTCACGATTTTGCTGATGAATTTGTTCACGGGAGTGGCCGTCGATGACATTGAAAAAATTCGAAAAGAGGCCAAAACCACGGAATCTCGAATAAAGGTTGGATAGATCGTTGGAAATGATTAACACATTTGCGACGAGACTTTTTGAGCTTTGAGCGCTTTTTCGTCTTTAAATCTGAACTAAAACAGTTCACAGCCAACCAGACAATAGTACATTTTCTACCATTGACGTACCAGCTTTCTAGACACAACTTTGATAAGCAGCTTTCTTTGATTGCCATATTACGTACAAGCTGATCAAATTGATGGCCAAACATTAGCTAAAAACTTTTCTTCATCAAGCTGAACTCATTTCTTCCACAATCGAAGTCAGCACCGTTTAGATAAAGTCGATGCTCATGCAGGGTTTATTGTGCGAGCCGTTGATGCGAACGGCAAAATATAAGATCAAAGTTAATTACTCGAGCACTGGGAAGCACAATGTAGCAAACACGAAGGAAACGTTGGTTTTTGAAAAGTCAACACTTTTGGGTATATTTGTCAACACGAAAGCTGAAAATGGAAAAAATTACGGATTCAATAATGAATTCTATACATCAACGTTTAGTTTTCTCCTATGTTGGCAGCATTTTTGGCGAGGAGACAGACATCTTAATGCTGCACAAGATGATGGCATGGGTGAAGCACCCTATGAAGCGGCTGTTGAAGCGGAAAGGGAGCCGATAACAGCGAAGCTATATGTGCGTCTTGTTATAAATGAAAATCTATTCAGAGTTGAAGAAAGAAAAAGGTTCTTTCCCTGAATCGTGGTCTTTTCGCAGAAAAAGTCACTTTCATGGTTTTCTGTGTCTGTGTCTATGTCTGTTTTCTGTATTTTCAAAACACTGAGATAAAGACTAGCAATCTAGTATAACACAAGTGGAGGCCACATGGGGTGCGATGAAAGCTTCAATTCGACATCTACGCGGCACAACAAAAGGCTCCCAACTTATTTATTTGAATATATGCTTAGAAGAGCAACGACTAAGGGTCAGCTCTTCCAACATGTGTTAGTTCGTATGCAAGCCGCTTATCCCCTCCTTTAATCTTTTTTCAACGTATATTGCTAAATACTTCTTGTCTTGAAATATGACAGCAGGAATAGGGAAAATGGAAGGGTGACGCTGTAATGACTGACTTTGATCAAATTGAAATAACATTTGTAAATTTTAAGTGCAGTTGTGACAAAGCTAGTTAGTAATGATTTGAAATGCAACGGTTCTTGTTTCTTTTGTCATCTCGATCAAAGTTATCGTTCTTTCTTTTTATCAGAAAAGTTCCAGGGTAAGAAAGAATCGGAGAAAGAATGGCAAAAATTGTTGAAAGAGCGAAACACTCGAGCGAAACACAGTATGATGGAAAACTTTAAGCCAGGTTTGAATGTTTGGATCGTGTTTAGTTTGTCGCCAAATAGAAAGTTGAATGTAAAAACAAATCTCCCTCTATAGATTAATTGAACTTGTAAATGACTTTGTAACTTGTTGCCTTTAATAAGTTTTCAGAAGGTATTCCAGGTTTCAAAATGGTACCTAACATAGATTAATTGACCAATCTGAGAAAACGAAGCGTGAACTTGAGCAGTCCTTCAGGCCTCAGAAGCTAGGGCCGAGAAAGGGAATCTTCAAAAAGAGAATCCCGAATCGTTTCAAACATTCACTTCAGAGCCACGTACTGCGAACGTGTGACGACAGTGAAGAGCCACAAATGTCACTTAAATCCTACCTTTTCTTATTGTCTTAATAAACACCGAAGCTTTCATTGTGAATTTATTTGTTACGAGCCACGCTGCTCTTCGTGCTTTTCAATTGATTTTTCCGATTTCAATCATGTGATTTTGTGTTTTTAGAATGCCTCGAGCTTTTCAGGCAAATGTCTTTCAATTTTCGGGAGATTCGCGTCCGAAATCCGAAGATTTTCGAGTGCCTCTCGGTTATCAACCATGTTTTTAACCATATTTTCACTCAACTTTTTCTATTTCAAGAGTTTCTTGTACTCGATTCTTTCTGTTTCTAAAACTGAATAATGGTAAACGCGAAGAGGGTTGCAAATTTTAGATTTACCGGCAAATGAGCGGACAGATGGGGCGCTTTGATGTGAGAAGTTTCCGAGAGGCTTCTTTTCAAGATCAGAACAATCAGAAGAGAACGTTCCGACTTCCGCCAGGCTACAAATTCGAAGTGAGTGAGGTGGGTGAGTTACGTTGTTGACCTGGTTCTCGAGAAGTCCCTAGTCTTAAATGACCAGTCTTGGCTTTGTAAAACATTACTTTATTTTCTTGGATTTTGTCAGAACTATTTATAATATTTATGAAGTTAGTAAACGACTTGCAGTGCATCTATTTTTGGCTCATTGTTATTAATTTTATGCATGTATACACGTTGAATACATCAAGATACATAGATTTATTGTAAACTTTTCAGAGTGACACGACTAATCGGAACGAAGAGCTAGTACCTACAGCCAACTACCACACACTACCCCAAGGTACCTTTGGTGATAAAATGTGAGTCTTTAAGTTTGCTATTAGTTTACAAATTGATACTTTTACATAAATGAATTTGTTCTTCGTTGATCAATAGCTCATCTTTTATTGTGCCGAATTCTAGAGCCGCCGTCCTATTTTACCCGCTTGTTACTGGATCGGAGTCGGAAACAAACGACGGGTTCCATCCTGGTTGGAAAAGAGTGGTCATTGCCAGGTTTACACATCTTTTTCAATAAATATTACCGTTTTTCAGAAGAAAATTAGAGCTTTTAATGGAGGCCGATGATTGGGATCAACGTCTGCAGAGAGAGCTTCAATACTGCCGGTATCAGGCGCACGAAAATGTGGGTCACATCGGAGATTTTTATTTGAAAAACATTTATTAAACAGATCGTGGATTATTACGAAGCTTATGTGGAGAAAATGGATGGTAACAGGATTTCTCATATTTGCTTTGTTTCGGAGAGAATGGATAAGACACTGAAGCAATACTTCAAGTTAGACTTGTACAGGGTGTTCAATAGCTACTGATTTCAAATTTGATGAGATTTTTAGATTTTGTTTAGTGATTAGAGTAAGGTCCTCTTGTTCAATAATGCGAAACAGAAAACGGATTGCGGTAGAAACCAACTGAATATTCTGATATTCAAGATATTCAACCGTAATCCGTTTTCTATTTCGCACTATTAACCACGAAGAGCTCACTCTATTAGTGACTCACGTTCAAGCTGCTAGATGGTTACTAGTTCTTTTAAAGAACAATGTTAAATGCGTTTTTGTTGAACACTATGTACCTGTAATTTTGTTTTAAGCGTTTGTCAATTTGACCCAAACTAGGGACTTCAAGTACCCAAAAATCTGAACTGTACAACGTTTGATCCACAAAAATAATTTCTTGAAAAATATTACTACTTGAATATTTATTTCTTTAAAGCACTAGCAAATTTAGAATTCTACAAGAAGATCACAAGCAAGACAAGAAGGCGCTGGTTCTTTTGGTGCCTGGCCTTCTCGTGCCAATCCTTCGTGCTGTCCAATATCTCCACATGCGTGGCATCATACATGGGGTAGTTTAGAAAATATAATCTCAAAAGAAAGAATGAGTGAAGCTAAGCTAGACAGAAAAGGAAACAAAGCTAAACGCATAACAACTAGAGTGTGTTGATCTCGGATAATGCTATTCTAAAGCGTGGGTGCGGCGAAGAAATGCAAATTCTCTTCTCTAATTACATTTAACGCAAAGATTGCTTGGAAACAAGCTAAAAAAGTTTCTAGTTTGTAAACTTTACTTCCAAACTTTTACTTTTGTTTTTCAATTTCATTTTTTATGTTTTTATGATTTTATGATTTAGTTTGTCAACTGCTTAGAGCAAGTAATTTCAAAGAACAACAGCTTTAATAACCCGGTAAAAAACAACTAGTTTTTAACCATTTTTGCTTTTTTAGAAGTCACTTCAACAAAGACAGCCTAGTTTGCCAGCTTTGGTTTGGCAATTCATGACAAAATACGAAGAAAATGGACAAAAGCTAGCTAAATGTAGTTTATGTAAAGAAAAGATAAAACATAGAAAACAAAAAATTATGGTAGAACAAAACAAAAAATTACTATTAATTACATATTAAACATAAGAAATTAAAACGAAAATGAAAATGATTGCTAAATAATCATGTCCGCCTTTATATACGCAAGTAAAAAGATAGTGCATTATAGAATATAGTCATTATCCAACAATTATTGGACCCATTTATTTGAATAAAGAATTATTTGCTCAAAATCATTCAAATAATTATTTGTCCAAGATTAACACACCCTAATAGCAACCAAAGATTCCAAATGAACCAAAGGAGTTTCATTTTAGACGTGAGAATTTTCGGTTTGAACCCCAGTAGATGCCTTACCAAAGAACACATATCTATGATCCCCTGATAGTGTTTTTTGTGCGAAAGTCCTTTACCAATGAATAAAGCTTGTAAAATAATATCTAATAGCAAGAATAATTTTGGAAAACGTTGACTTTGAAGGAGTCAAGATGTTGCTCCGTTGTTACCGAAAACTCTCAAGTCTACATCATTTGATGGTTTTGCTTCTAAAAAAACTTTTTGAAACTCACTAAATCAAGTGTTCAGGCTATTGAACCCTCAAACATTGGAATATCAAACGATAGAGCTTCGATAAAGCTATTGGACTACGGTGATTGCAGGTAGATAAGCGATGGTCAAATTTGATTTGCTCTTTTGAGTTTATGGAATTTAGTCAAAAGCCAGGAATTTTGACAAGAAAAACTTTAGAATCTAATGAAATCTAGTGAATGTCAACAAAATTCAGGTTTGAAAAAGCCGATCATCCGATAAAGGACATCTACGCGGTAGCCGGTGTGGCCATCAATATTCTCGGAGATCAAGTCACTTTTGATTATGTGTTAAGGAGCGAAAACCTACGTACGCAACTTTCGAACATAAAACAACTCAAAATATCTTACAATTCTGGCAATTTTAGCTCAAAAATTCAAAGATTTAATCCAAAAGATGACCGCTCCAAAAGACGCACGAACGACTTCTGGGATACTCGGGAGCGATGGCTATTTCAGTGCCAAGGAGTGTTTGGACGACGCTTTTCTCCACGATGCGAATGTAAATTAAAATTAGATTTTCCAACTAGCCACTAAATTTCAGAAAAAATACTACCGGAAAACATCTAGCAATCAACCCAAAGATGATGGGCAAAAGAAGCAAAGAAATCTAAGAGATAAGATGGTGCTGTTGAAAGAGCTCAAAGCCATGAAAACGAGAAGGACAAAGGTGATTAGGATGAAAATAGACTTGTTAACCACATCAGACCAAATATTTTGTTAGAAACTTACACTCTACAGGATGGCCCATAATTACGTTGACAACTTTTCAACAGATTTCTTGCCAAAGTTTGATATAGAATATTGAAGCCCTAATTCTCGGCTACATTTTTATATAAAAAACTTCTTGAATAGAGTCACGCAACCAATAGATAAAAATGGCAGCGCGCCGGAGACCGGTTGATTTAAGTTCATTCAAAGGTCTGAAAAGTGCTTCCATTCAGGAAGTTTTTTATATGGAAATGTAGCCGAGAATTAGGATTTCAATATTCTATTAGTCGGAAAGTCTTGTCGCAGTTTTCGAATTGGAATTTCTTTAAAACAAAACCACAAATTTAAGTACACTTTTTTTAAATTATTTTTCACTTATTTTAACTTAATTTTTGGCAAAATTACAGGACAACTTGCAAAATAAAACAAAGAGACTTTATTGTGCCATTTCAATCTTTAAAGCACCAGGAGATGATTTGATATCACTTTAAAAGCTTCTAGCTTTATACTATAGTTTAAGAACGACTAAATATAGCGGACTCTGAGAAAGTATGCAGCTAAAAAGGCTTTGAAAACTAAGTAGCACTTGTTTAATGACTTTAGTTTGAAGAATTTCTTACCTATCCTCATGGAGCTCAAGCAGTTGAGAGCTCCACCCGGTATCTAAAATTTTGCCCTGAAAAAAATTGTGAGAAAAGGAACACTCAAAAAGTAGCCGACAACACTTTAATTGATGAAAATTTCAATATTTTATCGGAAACATGTTCTCACTTTTTGGCAGTAGTTTCTCAAAGATTATCCAAATTTGCAGTAAACAGTTGATGGTTTGGTTTTTAAGAAGCTTCAATTTCAAAAAAAACGACAAGACTTTCCGGTCAGTCTAATAAATCACACTTTGGGATTTGAAACTGAATAGGGCGTTTGACAAGAAATCTGCTGAAAGGTTGTCAATTATGGACCACCTTGTATGGACCACCTTGTATTATGGACCACCTTGTATGTAAATTAATTATGGACCACCTTGTATGTAAATCCATCTTAGGATCAGCGCTATTACTCAGAAAAGAAGGAAGGGTCGATTGTTTACTTTTCTTTGCCGGAAGAGTATTCGCGAAATTTGGTGCGTTTGAATTCGGTGAAAAGTTCTAGAAATTTATGGAAATCAAAAGCTCTCAAGTGATTTCCGAATTTTGACGAATTTTGACAAAACAACTTTTCTTTTCAGGACGATAAAATCAATCGTAAAAGAGAAATCCAAGCCAATTTGTTTCACAAGCTCTTCAGTGGAAAATTTTCTGATGTCATGTGAGGGAAAGGATTCATTTCCGAGTTCAATAACTTTTCAGCTCAGCCATACTTAGCCAAAAGGCCAAAAATTGCTCAACGAACGAGCAGGTTGTTGCTTGTAAAAGGTGGGGGAAACGAGCGAACAAGTGCACTTCTGTAGGCTCATTGTTTAGCAAAGATCCACAAGCACGGCCCATAGATCATAGATTGGATCAAGAGATATTAGCGCACACCTAGATTTGAACCATCTTTAGATTCACTTGCGCTCAACTAGGTCCAAACGACGGGTACACTCGTTTACGACGTGAAGCGCAAATCTCACGGATTCAACGTCACGAGAATGTATCATTTTTGACAATCAAAAACTTTTGGCCGATTTACAGATTGTTAAATTTTACGAAATGTTTCCGGAGCCCATTTCAAGGGAGGACGGAGTTGAGCCCGAAATCACTCATGTTTGGATGGTGTTTGAGGCGATGGAGTGCACATTGGCGAAATATTATCAGTGAAGATTTTTTTGTCTAGCTTCTAGTTGTAATCAAATTTCAGGGATCACATGAAAAAGCCACATGTAAAAATGGAGCTCTTGACAAGTCTACTTGTACAAGTTCTCTCGGCAGTCGACTATCTTCATCATCGCGGGATCATGCATCGCGTGAGTTTGCGAAAAAAAGAAACATTTCATCACTAGACGTGGCCATTATCCATTCACCATGCACAACCTCACAGACACACCTAAAAGAACGAGTTCTTGTTCATTTCTTAGGAAGCAATTTGTACTTGACTTGTATAAGTAAAGAACAAGAAGTTGGTACAGTCAAGTCTCGTTAGAGATCTATCTTGAAAAAGAATTTTATTGGTTAGTCACTAAAAAGGTCAAGTTAGATACTTTTTTCTCTGGTGACTAGAAAAAATTCAATCACTAAAGAGGTTTGACTGTAGTGGAGACGTTTTTTCAACCGGTACAGCCCATTTAACACATCCGCGACGAGGTCTTTTTGATTTTCGCGTAAGTTATTGCCCTTTCATCAAACTTCCCAGAGAACCAATTTACCTGTGTTTTGTATCAAATTAAAGAAAAATACTCAGGAATCATTTATCTAAAAACAGATTGGAAAAATATTGAGTTTCAAGAGATTTATGAATGTTTTAAAACGAGAAATTACCTGACCGACCGGTGAGTTAGGCGGCCTTTTGGTTTTGAAGACTCAACTTTCTTCAAACTCAATTGTTTTCCAATCTGTTCATAGATCAATGATCCTTTTTTTCAATTGATACAAAACACGAGCAAATCTATTCTCCGGGAACTTTTTTAGGCAAGACGAAAGGATAATAACTTACACGAAAATTAAAAAAAAACTTTGTCGCGAATGTGTTAAGAAGAGTTAAATATTCGGAAAATTATTTAAAAAATCTGGCGCTAATTTTTTTATTAAGAAATGAAAAATAACCTCTTTAGAACATTTGCCCAGAAACAATCGGCGTGAATATCGCTCAGTTTCAAATCAAGCTACTCAACTTTGGCCAATCCAGGTTCAACGCTCACAAGGGGGCTTTTTTGACGCAATTTCATTGCAGAGAAACAAGGCATGACCAAGAGTATTCGACAAATGTTGATAATACAATGTATTACAAGGCCTTCGAAATGTTTCTTGACCCAGAGAGATACAATCAAAAAATCGATGTTTGGGCGGTGGCACTGGTGGCAATCGAGATGTTTGACAAGAAGCTTTTTCAGCCGGAGATCGATGCAGAGAAAATTGTTTTTAGTTTTTAAATCTCTTATAATCTACAAGTTATACCGTAGTGTTTTTCCCTAATAAAGCTTGGTCTGATTCTTTGCAGTGGATAAAATTCATTGCACAAATAATCGGATCTAGGCTTAGAGAAAATTTTTTTAAAGAAACTTTTAAAAAGAGTGTCGTTTTTTTACTGTAGGTTCCATTTTTCCATTTACCTAATCGAAACTGGGCACGTGTCAGTTTGTCAACAGTTTACCAGTTAGGGCAAAGTTACGGCCACACCTTTTCAGGAGATTGCATTCCAAACGCCGCAATCAATTCAAAAATCCTAAGTGTTATATAGAAAATTGAAGCCTGAATTCTCGCCTACATTCCTGTACCAAAAATCTTTGATTCAGGTTTTGCAGCCCATTTTTCAGAGCCTCAAATGAGTCCAATCCGATCAGTCTCCGTCACGCTTTCATTTTTAGCTGTTTTCTAACTAAAAAAAATTTAGGATTTAGAATGATATAAAAAGCGTTGATAATACCAAAGTGTTTTGACAATGTTAACCTAATCAGACTGATCGGATTGGGCTCATTTGAGGATCTGAAAAATGGGCTGCAAAACCTGAATCAAAGATTTTTGGTACAGGAATGTAGGCAAGAATTCAGGTTTAAATTTTCGATATAACATTTAGGATTTTTGAATTGATTGCGGCGTTTGGGATGAATTCTGCAGAGAAGATGTGGCCGTAATTTTGCCTCGCTCTGTACATTCAAAATTATTTGAGCTAAAAAGGAACATAAACTTAGACCCATTCAAATGTAAACTTTGAGTACAAGGAAGCATTCGAAAATGTGAGTTTTAGATCAGAAAAAACGGTGCCGGGTTTGTGGCGAAAGACCGAATTTACGCAGAGCTTGGAGTATACCCTGACAAATCAAGGTTAATTCAGAGCCCGTATGCTACGCTCCGGAGAAATTTCTTGCCGGGAATATTTGTTGATAGGTGTAAGACGGAAAAATAAGGAAACTTTACCTCTTCAAAATCAACATTGTCAAAAATTTTTTTGCTTAAATAGGATTTTTAATGCTCTATCCGCTGGTAAAAATAATTTTTTAAAAAGCTTATTTCAGAGGAGTAACGTCGTATTTTTCCGTTTTCCCGCACGACATTTCCCGGGAGCGTAGCTCCGTTTTCAGTTGACGTTAACGAAAACAATTGTAGTAATGAAATCATAATAGATCCAACACACAAATTGGGAAATTGGCTAAGACCTTGGAAGAGCTTTCTGAAAAAATTACTACAACAGACGAGGCTGGAGGTTTTTTTGAAATAACTTTTATTAAATGTGTCAAATATCAAATTTTCAGAACAATCAGAACAAATCAAAGTCGATAGGAAAAACTTTTGCGACCTGATGACCAAAATGTTGCTACCAGATCCAAGAGAACGTTTTAGTGCCGAGAAATGTCTCGAGCACGATTTTCTCAAGGTAGCTCGGATTTTCACAGTGTTAGTACAAAGAAAAGTGTAGAAGATAAACAATTTTCAACATATTCAGTTGACTTTGTTTCTCTGGTTTGCACTAATTCTGTTGACGAGTTCCATCTAGCCTGTACAAAAAGATTTGCGAGTACTTATCAATGTCAAAATCGATAAGCACCGTTTTATATGGCAAGAGCCTGGTGTCATTGTAAAAAGTTGGTTGCTAGTGCAAATCAATTTAAATCAGTAATTCACGTTTTTATTCAGGATCGTATCCCAGAGAAAGCCCAAGAGCCGA